CGGTTCAATACTTCTCTTTCCTTGCTGCTTAATCCCATTTCTTCATAAGCTTATTTGCTTTTTTGCATCATATATCATTCTTGCAATTTATTATTGGGACAGCTAAGTTGAGCGACACCGCCCTCTTTCTTTTTTTTTTTAATATTACCATCAACAACTGCTCCTTGCATGTCATTTTTTGAAAGCAATTCGCCTATGAACCTGAGGAACAGTAACTCCATAAATTGAATCCACTTAAACAGCTTTGATTGGCATGACCTTCAACATTCAGTTCGACATCGAAAAGCTCCTTTCGAGGTTAGCGAATTCGAGTTCACTTTTGTAAGGTAACCATGCAGTCAGTAGTAATAGAAAATGAGAAACATGCGTGCAAAATAAATTCTACTCTGATGTATTATCTGAAATCTTAACAGATTCTGCAGTTTGAGGGATTTCACAAATTTAATTCCAACATATTAAGCGGCTTTAAAGGTAATAAATGTAAAATTGAAGAAAAAAGCGGCATTCAAAAAAGAGTGGTCAGAAGTTGTCAGTTTCTAATTGAAAAAGTTATATTACTATTAACTTGGTCGTTTCAAACTTTAGAATTTGATGCCAAGCACTTGACTGTTACTTTTTTCCCATGACAAGCACGGCTGTGAATACATGCACGCCAAGAAATTAGGAAAAATATATTTAACCAATATGATCTATGACTGTGAGTATGTATTAGTGTAGAATGGTCATTTTTAGAGCTTTTATATCCCTCTTTAAGTGACTGCATTAAAAACAGAAATCTATTGCGTAGAAAATAGCGTTATCATCCTTACTGAATCAATTAACTGTCGAAGATGCATAGAAGTCATAGAATCAATTAACATGTCTAAACATGCACAGAAGGCATACAAAAGTCCTAAGGCTATGCCTTCTATGCATGTTTCGAGATTGACAAATCTACAGTGTGCTTAGTAAAGACCTTAATCGCTTAATATTTGCTTGTAAAGCTCTCGGATAAGTATCTAAGGGTAGTGAACTTATTATAACTACATTTTGCAAACATGGCAAGATAATAAAAAGATCCATGCAGCTAGAACATTCCGCCGTCCGATATAGAACCATGCACGGAGGCACCAAAATTCCAAAGGTTTAGTCTTTGTCTACTCTGTGAATATTATTGTAACATATATTTCCTTGCCATAAGTGTAGGGATGATATCTTACAAATTCTTTCCCTGTAATTTTTTCTCATGAAAGTTAGCGGAGGAAAATGCTGATTTTTCGCAACTAATGAAAATAACATTTTTTTATTATTTTTATTTTAATAAACTTTCAAATGTTAATTGTACCAAGTAATCTTGTATAAATCCCCCTTTCGTTTTTTCGGCGAGAGAGAAAAGGAAGTTCTAATTTATTTAATTTTTTTTATTTCCTTAGTTTAGATATATGAGAAACAACTATGTAGACATTTGGTTTCTTTCGGAAGGACTGCATTAAGATTAGCTGTTTCTCACCACCAGCTCATCAGAGAAGATCAGCTGTTTCTCACCACGAATCGACCAAGAGCTTTCAGCCGTACTATAAGCAGAACAGGATTATTTTATATAAAAAACATCTAAAGAAGTTTCCTTATTTAAAAGTCCCTCAAAAAAAAAAAAAAAAAACTTGAAAAGCAACAATTATTAGATGTTACATAAAACGATGATAATAATTTCTAATTTTAAATTACGAAATATATTCCTAATAAAAATAATACGTTTTCCCATATTTTATTGCTGTTCCTTATGCTCACTTGTCTAGCGTAGTCAGCCCAAAATCACGAAATTCCTCATGGCAAGGAGCCCCAGATTACGCCTGCCGTTGGCAACAGCCTTGAGCACCATTCAGGTGACAGTGCGATTTTGCTCAGTTCCACCCCCAATTTTGATGGAGAGCACCCCGGGGGACGGATCCGAGGTTCTCCCCGCACCTATCTCCCAACCCTTTCCCCTTCTACCAAATCACACAAGAGGGCTTTCGACTTGCCGCATATTTGGAGTGCCACTATGCCGCACCGACATTTACAAGCATCCATGTCTTCTCCGGGATTCGAGCCCAGGACCTTCGACACAACAGTCAGCGATGCTACCCGCTATACCGGTTGGGCGGCCTATATTTTATATGTTGTTTATAATCAACAAGAAGAAAATTATGCAAATTTTAGAAACTATTGCCAGAAATGGAGAATTACGTAATAATCAGCTCTACGTTTTGCATTCTGAATAGATAATATATTTCAAAGTCATTGATTTTAAGTAATTCTTTAAAAGAATTATAAATGACAATATAACATAATTTAGGTAGTGTAAAATTTTATGCCTTTTCTTATCATAATAATAGTATCCTTGGTTTAAAGAAACCTATGTAATGGAACCTGTTTGAAAAAAAAAAAACGCATAAAAAGCATTTTATCTTTTTGCTATGTCATCCTAAACAACAAACATTTTGGTAAATAATCCAAAATAACAACAGTAACAATTTTGATAAATCATTATACAAAATCTTCTCGATATGTGAGTAAATCTAATTTTTCGGCATGAAGTAAAACAAAATTTTAATATTTTAAAAATATGTCAAGTGATACAACAGAGGAATTGAGAGATATTCCCTGCAAAACTATGTATTTCAAATTAAAACAAAGCTATTTTTGCGTTCGTGTGTGTTGCTGGTAATGGATTGAATGCGCACACAACAGATGATAAATTGATAAAATGTATTTTATCCGAAGTCGACTGTGAACTGAAAAACTGAGAACTGACGCTTTCTCCGAGCTTTTATAATTTATCCCGGCTTCCGAAAATGTATAGAGATTAATTACAGTTATTCAATTGCAATATCAATTACAATTATACAAGGATCGGACTAAAATGTCGCCAAATGGTCGCCAAGTTTGGCGACTTTTGGCGATTTTCCTCTAAATTTGATGACAAAATTTACCATCGTTAGCTTGATCATATTTAGCGATATAGTGTTAAAATAGACTTAGCCCTGTAACCTTATTTACGACAGTGCTTCCCCTTTTTTCAAACATTCCATGTTACATTATACCCAAGATTATAAAATTTTACATATAATTTCGCTAAAATTATTTATTTATATACAAAATTTGTAATACTGTTACAAAAGCACAGAATTCCCCTTCATTTAACCTTAAACTTGAAAAACCTCTTGTGCGGAAAGTTTTTGTTAAATTTTACAGGTAGTGGTTCACATGTTTGTAAATTTGATAAATATCTGTACATGGCTAATGTTAATTAATACATTTTCTTCATTTGTTTCATATAAAAGAAATAACTACGTTTCTTCATTTGCAGGATGTCAAAGAAACAGCAAAATACGGCTTAGCTAATAACAAAGAGAAGAATGATATGGTCTACAAATACACAGTAAATGAACATGCCTGATGTAAATTTCTTTTGGCTTCTATTAATTACTAAAACGAACTTATATATTAATTATTATATTATTAATTCATTCATTCACTAATCAATTAATTACAGGAAAAAAAGTTATAATTATTATTAAATTATTATTAATTAATTAAGTGAATACATACTATCGAATAAAAATTATTATTTTTACTAAGTTTATTATTATTATTAATTACTGTTATTACTATTATCACTACTACGAAAGGTAAAAATATTTGATATTAAAGTATTTTAAAACGAAATTTCAAATCAGCGTTTAGTAGAAAAAAAGTAATTAAGAACATAGTTTTTAAAATTATACCTCAATTTGTTAAGAAGATGCAAATTAAATATTTTAAATGAAGTGCATAATGAAAAGTCTTCAGTTTTAAGATTTTTTTTTCTGAGTATCATTTGACAAAATTATTCAAACAATAGTTCACATTTTGCTTGCATTTTTGGTCCAGAATTTTTTTTTTTTTTTAATCAAAGCACGTGCAGAAGAGAGAAGTTTACTCCAAAAGTTAACAGAGATAAAAACTGAATTCTCTCTAAAAATTAAGATGTAGCATTCAAGGCCTCTACTAAGTGATATTAGTAATTCAGATTCAAGGAAATCGCAACAAAACGCGATCTGTTTTTAGTCAACGATTTGATTAGACGCGAATAAAACTAATTTTTTAATGTTTTGAATTAAAACGTTTAATGATATTTTAGATTAGGATTCATAAGATTCAAACGACACGCCCTCCAAAAAAAGGGTTCAAATATTCGAATCTTTTCCATGATTGTTGAGATTTGAGAATTCACATATCCCGTCCTTAAAACAAATAAACAAAAATAAATGACTTTGCGTGTAATAATTAAAAATGAATTAAATGGTTAGAACATGATATTAACTATTGTGTTTAAAAATACTTCTTTTTCCTTAGAAATGGAAGTTACCTTTCCTTAGAAATAAAAAAATTCTTGATATTAGATACATTCCTTAAGATCAGCCATTCCTTTAAATTTGATATAGTATATAGATTCTTTAAAATTAAGTTCCTTTAAAGTAGATATACTAGACACATTCCTTAAAATTAGATATGTTAAACATACTCTTTAAAATTAGATTACTTTAAATTAGATATATTAAAAAGAATCCTCAAAATCAAATTTCTTTTCCTTTGAAACAGAAATAAATATTTATAAAAACGAAAATCTAATCATGTTTATTTGCTTTTGGAAAGACCTCCCCTTTTGCAATGGTTCTTAATTTGAATGATTCATTCTACCCTTAAGGAATATTATGGAAGAATATTAGATTGCAATAAAATTATTTATTTATATTTTTTTAAATGGTGAAATGGTATTAACTACTGAATTCGATTTCTTTATTCTATTATGCCATATGATTGCATCACGACTTTGTACTTTTTCTGAAAGATTCATAATAAATTAGGTCCCACATCCGCCTATCTCAGGCTTTGATGCAAAGGTAATTTTCAATATCAGTCTAAATCCAAAAACATTTACAACAACAAAGAAATGAAGAATGGATACTTGCGTCACGATGCCTAGATAATTTGCATACCATTCATAAATGAGACCAATGTTATCACCAGTATCAGATCACAGCTAGTTTGCAAATGCCATTATACTTGATCAAACTACTCAACATGAATAACCCGCATGCAGTTAATGATTTTATTATCCGGCAACAGTTCTAATGCTCTACCCACACCAGTCGTAGTTTTCGCCGGTTGACTCGTCACCTCCCCTACAACTCGAATAAAATGTATATATTCTATTCTAGATTCGAAAACTGATCGGACAGGTGTGGTCGTAGCCCGTAACCATTTTTATAAGCGAGAAAACCCGCAGCAAATTGCGCCTCGGGGCTCTGCTGAGTTTGGTCAAAAACGAGTTTGGGAATTGTTCTCTTCGGAAAGGACATTCTGTGCTGACCCGGTTCTGGTGGTGTATTGTGGATACCGAAATCCCTTTTCCCACTATAACCATAACGTTAAATTGAATACCGTTTAGATAACGATCGTGATGTCTCGATCAATAATTTCTTTTTCTAACTTAATAAGGAAATTATGGCAAGCTTGGGAGGATTTATTGTTGGGTTTTATGATATTGTTCGCACGAAAGCCTTGCTTGTTTTGCTTGCGTTTGGGCAAAAAAGCTTATTATTTGAGGTTTACGTGCTTAATAGAGAAATGTGTTTGCTTATTGGATTACCAAAATCATTTCTTATTTACAGAAACGTGAAGGAAATTATGAATCTACCTCAAAATCGTTTCGCTTTACCCTGATAACGAAATTGGGCCACAAAACAAAGAAAATTCGACTCATCAAATGAAGGTTAAAGGAACTAAGACATATTTATTTTATTAAAGCGAAGAAATTACGGATTTCATCGCTTATTATTAAATTTAAGAAAGAGAGATTAGAAATTATTTAAAAGATTATGCTTCAGAAGGACATATTCTAAGAAACTTCATAATTCGCGAATCTATCATAGTAGTTACAGGATACTGAACTTTGTCATTAGTGATGCAGATGTTGTCCGATCATATTGTTGGACTATATAAATATACTTTGAAGCGTAATGGTAGGTAAAAACAAGTGTCAGGCATTTAAATCAAGACAACAAGCATTTAAATCACATCCGCTATTTAAAATTAAGACCAAAGGCGTGTATAATTAGTCTCCGCTAAATGCCTATCCCCACTTTCAGAGTGATATATATCTGATACCATTGAAAGTATTGTTAATATTGTTCATCAAAGTTTTCCAACGCATAGTAACGCAACGTAATTCTGGGGTTAGTTAATTAATTCTGACAAAGTGCATGAGGTTTTACTGCTATTTCTTGAGGAAGTCGTAAAGGAAATGTCTCATCACTCTGTCTTTGAAATTGCGTAAGACACATTGGAACAGCTTAAAACACCCTTTTATTTAAATCAGATAAAAGAGATGCCATGGAAAGGCACAGCGCTTGTTTACAGAATCAGCCAGCATTTATGGCTTAACTCAAAACTCAAGAGAATTTAAATTACACTTAGTGAATAGTAAGTTAGCCCAAAGACTGCACAGAATAAATGCGCGAAAGTTGACTCAGACCTAAAGTCGGCTTAACAAGCCTAAGGATGAGAGTACATAACGCCGCAGAGAACCAGCTGTCATGAGAATCAAGTAGCAAATATGGTCTTCAGCAGGCAAAACCTGCTCTGATTCTACCATCACAGATCACAGAAGGCCCCTCTATAGTTTAGTTTAGTTTAGTGACGGAGGACGTGGGCACCACCTTTTACCATTATGGTTAATTGGTTTAGCGCCGCGTCCACCCTTATCTAAAGTTAACCCATGTTACGGTCACACCAGATCCATCATAGGGCAATTGATTAGTGTTCAAGCATAGAATTAAAAATGGTAATCTGTGTGACTACGTACTTAGAGTTATGAACATAACTTTGCAAGTGACACATAGATTACAATTCAATACCCTAGCAAGTATTTTAGCAATTTGTATAAAGTAACAATTCAATACATAAGAAGATATATCATAAAAATGATTAATATACTGTGTGAGGAAAGTGACGTCATTGTCAACATGAATTTACTAATGCAAAAATTCAACATTTAAACCAGTATACAAAAAGAAAGAACATACAAATGCTTATATGTCTAATGCCAACTTAAATTTATAGTGGAGAAGATAACAATGCTTAGATCTGACATAGGAGAGAATCGGAATGAAGGTTAAGGGGATTAAGCGAAAGAAGAAAGAGAAAGGGATTAGATTAAAAGGGGAGATATACAGTTAAAGAATAAGATGAATAGACTATAAATAACGATAAAAACATTAATCTATACATTGATAAATACAATGATTCAAAAACAATGAGATATGCGAATATTAATTTTAAAAAAAAAAAAAAAAAAAAAAAAAAAAAAAAAAAAAAAAAAAAAAAAAAAAAAAAAAAAAAAAAAAATTATATTATTATAATTATCTGCCAGGATGACATCAAAAATAATTTTTCATATAGGTGATTATTATGAAATGTAAATATTATAGGGCATTCGTAATCAGAATGTACAGTTACAATTTTACTGCACATGGAAATACTATACAAATAAATAATCAATACAATGATAACGTGAGTACTCATGATAATTCAAACTATGATTCTAACGATTATTCAAATGCAATGATCAATACAGCATTCTATGCGCTTATTAGAAGAAAAATCAGATATATTCAAAATTTCATATTTGCTCAATTATAAAAATACCATTTTTATTATAAACCTCACTAGCAAGTGACATAAACATTTAAATATACCAATAATAATATTACACAATGAGCTACATGTTATTGAAACAGTTAATTATAAATTAGTTTGTACAGTTTACCTTGACATGATATTATAAATAATGTAATGATGCAAAAGTGATAGTATATGTTTCTTTAGACAGTACCAAAGCAATAAATATGCAGTTATGAGTATAAAGATACGATACACGTATAAGTGATTAATTATATATATATATAATATATATATATCGATTTGTAATAATATTATATAGGTTATTAATAACATTTTAAATAATGGATATTCATTTAAAGTACCTATATAGTATGATACATTACTTGAAAAGAATCAATTGTTAGATATGTACAGTACAGTATAACTTGACTTTATTTATCATTACAATCAGTGATTCAATAGAATGATTCTTATGATAACTAAAACATAATAATTTAGTACAGGATTCATACATTACTAATACAATGATAATCATACTAAACATAATACAATGATACTATAAAACATACAATTATCTTATTCAAGTAATACGCTCGATTTTGTTGGTAGATCATTAGTGTTGTGGATTTTAGTTGCTGCCTACGTTCTTGTTTGAGGCGTCGGCGCAGAGCACGACATTTTGCTGTTGAGTACGCAGTGTACCATTCCACCAATGGAGTGCGGTAATTCTTTTGTAGTACGCTTTGGGAGATGTTTCACACACTTGTATTGTTAATAGAATGTCTTTCGTAATATTTTGGAGGGTCTCTCTACTTACAGCATGTCTTATTGGATTAACGAAAGGTGTTAGTCTGTTACTAACAATAGAAGTGAAAGTGCGGACCTTCCGCCCTGGTAGGTTGTATCTTTGGATGATGTTAGTTGCAGTGCTGCTTGCTATTATAGCGTATATAGTTATGATCCGATAGACTCTGTCCCTCAACTACTGTCCAATCACGTATTAAATTTGCCATTTGATGCCTAGTAACTGTGAGGTCTGGCCAACCACGAGAGTGGAGCCTATCAAAGGTCGGCGGCGCATCTATTTGATTATGAATTAAAAAGTTGTTGCTTGAGAAAAAGTCTTCGAAATGACGCCTTTAGGTTCGTATCAGCGTAGCCCCATGTGGTGCTATGGGCATTATAATCACCAGCAAGGAGCATTTTTGCTATACGATGAGATTGCATTAGCTGTGTGGATGCGTATTATGGTATGGTCCGCTTTTTCTTCTGTAGGAGGGGAGTAGATGGATACTAACGCTATTGTCTGATTAAGTATTTCCAGTAAGACAGCCACAAAATCCCTCTCTAAAGCAAGCACAATCGGTTGTCCATGCCTGGTTGCAGATTGTAATAAAAGCTCGAGGCGGTTGTGTTGAATCCTCTTTTTGAAATGTTGTCCATTGAAGCGGAAAACCCACAATTTTGCCGTGTCTGTGGTATGGTTCTTGACCAATTATTATATCAATCATTTTCTTCTGTAGCGTAGTGTGCCGTTTTGGGACATTGCGGCACGCGCTCGCTGAAGATTTATTTGCAAACATTTTATGGGTGTGTGTTGAGCTGATGATTTTAAGTTAATGACATTCAAGGAGGTAATGGGTTTGTTGTTTGCGGACTTGCAGAAGTATTACAGAAAGATATCTCTCTAATATTCTGTTGTTCGTGGATTGTATCGACTGCCCGTTTGGTAGATAGCACATTCGGATTGCATAGGCTGGATGCTGGAAGTTGAGTCGTGTTCCGAATCTGCAGTTTGAATCTACACAATTGATACAGGAGGGTTGTTCTGCTGTACATTCTTTAGTTGCATATGAGCAGGAACAGAAGCCACAGAAGAGCTTAGCGGATTTGCACATGTCTTGGCTGTGCCCAAATTTTTGGCAGCGATAGCATCTCTTAATACCAAAGAATTCTGTAATTCCGTGAGATTGCCACGCTGTAAAAATATGTCTGGTATTAATGGCTGCTGCGAAACCTTCGGCCGTGCATTCAATGACCCACTTAACTCTTTTAGGACGTCTTTCTCGTAATCGGAAGAGTGGCTTGTATTGGTGGGCCGATGTTCCTGATATTGAACTAAGTTCTGAGATGAGCTCTTCTGGTTTTGTGCTTTCTGGGACATTATGTATAGCTATCCTAGGGCGTCGTCGTTGTCGCTTTTTGACCTCTACGTCTATGTCTGCTTTTTGCAGATGTTCTTGTAGTTGATTAATCTCGTCTGAAGTTTGGCAAAATACCTCCAATCCTCCTTGTGGAGTTGGCTGAATTTTTTGGACAGTAATTGGTATTTCTGCCAAGGGAACTTTATTTTGTAGTTCTCTTCTGAGTTCTTCAGTAGGTTTTTTAGACTTTGATTTGATCACTACGCTTGGTTTGCTGATATTTCGTAGAACCTCCGCAAAAGTCGGTTGTGAGACAGTTGGCAAGAAGGGTGGTACCTGCAAATTGTGTGACTGTTGGGCAGGGGTAGAGAAAGACTG